TACATGACGTGAATGTCATGATGCGAGTCATAATTTCGTCACGATTTGATAAAATAAGTCAGGATACACTGGCAAAAAATTTTGTTTGATTTTTCCGTGGCAAATCCCGGAAATGTTTATCATGTTATTAAATTTCTACTGAAATTTCAGAATGTATTATCATTGAAAAATTAAATATTCCATTGATTTTCTGTTCGACTTCAGTTGAATTATTCCGTAAAAATTCGGAAAAATCTGGAAAATTTAGGAAAATTTATTCATTTTATTTCTGAATATTTACGTTTCATTGAAAATTCAATCAAGTTGCGAACTTTCCATCTCACTTCCACTGAAACCTCATGAATTCCGTCGAATTCTATCTAAAGCGTGAAATTTCAGAGCCATTTTTCTCCTAAATCGGATTCAATGTTACTCTCATGAGAGTTACTACCATATTTTCCATGAAATTTCGAAAAATTTCTAACAGATACGAACCCTGACGTGACAAATCTATCTTTTCTACGGAACATCTGATAGTAATTGGAATATTTCTAGTGGCCTGATGAACCTCCGCAGACACGGAGACTGGAAAATGACAAAAGCAGGAAACAAATTCACGCTTTCCGTTAGCTTTGGGGTACCAGTCACAGAATACGAATACCCGAAATATGTTGCTCACCTTCTCTTCACTGTTGAAGGCCAACTCAATATGACCATAAGCGAAATTAAATTCAACGCTGCTGTGTCTTTCGACTACTCGCAGCAGCCTTGCGTTCAGAAAGTAGAAAAAATTGAAATAACGGAAATCGGAGATATTAAAGCCAATTTTACGGGTTTGGGGGGTTGGTCAATTGGTTCCTTGAAAAATCATGTTGTTGCCGAGATGTTGGAACGTTCGGTGATTGAAAATACTGAAAAGAATATTCCAAAATCATATTGCGAGATATTGAGACCGGAAACGTAGAAATAGGGAACTTGTATCAGTTTTTAGAATAATAAAACTAGTTATTTAGCGATACGACACATGTAGATCAATATTGAAGTAATGAAATAAAAAAAAAATACCAAAATGAAAAATGAAAATTTCCCCGTGGAAAAAAATCCCTCGTCTAGTATTCGCGCAATATTTTTCCCTGAAAATCACTGAAAAAATATCTCCGACAAAAATGCAAAATAAAGATATTATAATTTTTAACTTTATTGTTAATGTTGGAAAGTATTATATTCTCGTTACTCCTCCAAGTTACACATGATAATGACAATGTAATTTATTCATTCATGATTGGTTGTTTGGAAATATGTTTCTTTTGAACTGGATTGTCTTGGAAGTGTAAGATGATGTTTCGCTGAATGTTGTCAATGTTTTTGTTTTATGAATCTGCGACTTTGTAGGACGAGAATGCTTGTTAATGAAGATTCATTGATTATTGGGGCAAGAGATTAATTCGAATTATTTGGGGGAATTGGTTCGAAAATGTTGACAATTACTTTATTGTATTAACGTCATTTATTTATTATTGATTTATTGAAAAAGTTGAATTCTCATCTGGCGTCTTCAAAGATTAAAGGATGTAATAAATAAAACTGACTTTGGCAATGTGTATTTGTGTAATTGATTTTTACATTCGTAAAGGGAAATAATTCCGGGAATTTGTTTCCGAGGATTTTTTTCGGGGGAAAAAAATCCGGGAACCTGAAAAGTCTAATGACCATTTCTCATGTGCCTCACAACAACAAAAATTATCAAATGTAAACTAAAATAGGCCTTGAAGATCCATTCCAATAACTTTGACATTCCTAAATTAAAGTGTAAATAACTATCACAAAAACACGTGTGAATAGTAAGATTGAGCACAAGGGAAGGTCATGTCTATGAAAAAGAATGATAGAATGGCCTTAGCGTCAAAATTTGTTCTAGATATTTCGTATCTCTATAAATCGAAGACCTAATTTTACTATTTATTCATTTGGAATGTGGGTGTCAAATTCAACTGCCGTCATTCACAAAGCAAATCGTCTCGAATTTGTCGTCTTGAACTCCTCAGTCAATCGTTGTCAAAGGATATAAATGGTGTCGGCGACAGTGCCATTGAAGGCACTGCTACTTGTCGCTCTCCTCCAAGCGACGTCTCCCGAAGTTTTCAGTAAGCTCCTAATTTCTCTCTATAACACTCGATGATCAATATTTCCACGTAATTACAGAATGCAAATGGCCAGGGAACTTTGCGTTGAACCGGTATTCAAATTCCACGAGAAATGTTTACGATGCTGAACTGGAAGTGATTCTGGATTACGATCATCTTAAGTTATATGGACATGGGGAGAAGAGATTCATCACAATATGGGGGAAGGACGTCACCGTCAACATGGCTGGTGAGTACATGCATAAACAATGTGATAAAAAGACTACTATTGCTGAATACTAATATTGCTGCAATAAAGGTTTCTACGAAGATGATATTGGACCCGTGGAAAACAACCCGAAACCTGAAAAGTTCAGAGTCTCTTTCAATGAAGTATTGGCGGGAAATGCGCGGCGAGAGCCACTTGATAATAGCACATACTCGATTTCCGATTGCCGATTGATTTTACTGCCGCCTGACGCAGAAAGGTAACTTCCAATTTTTTTCGTCATTCGTCAAGCAATTTATGCGAATATCACAGGGGAGGATCTAAATTTAGGGGGATGTAGGAGGCGTTGCTCCAGGATAGGCCGGAAATTAATTAGAACAATGATTCTATTAAAACGTCACTAAATTTTTATGGAATTGAACAACTTCGTTAACCGTTATATTTACACTTTGGTTTGAACTAGGTTGTTGAGTGCTTCAAAATATTAATAGAGGTCGATGTACTGAATTGTTAAATAACTGTTGAATGTCTATGATAATTGTTTCTGATAATTCACTGAATTTGAGAAAGCGTACTTTCACGTGATGCTACAATTTAAAACACGTGTGGCCTTCTCAATTGGTAAATTGCTACTTCTTTTCGGGGGTTTCGCGATCCCCTGACCGCTCAATCGAAGGTTCCCGAAGGTGCTCGAAGATTGTGGATAGGACCGACGGTTTGACTGGTAGAGTAAACTGCCCAGTAGATGGACTTGTAAGAAAGCCGCCCGGTAAATAGACGTTTGTTTTTTAGGAATTGACAAGCAAATTGTTCGAATAAAAATTGCTATTCAAGGATTAAGAATCACAACAATTAGTGAAAATTCAAAGCAACAATTCACACTTCAGCATCTTTTTGTGTAATTTCCTATCCAAAAGTAGCTCGTCCATGTACTGTGCAGCTTACCCTATATAGCTACATTTCAAACAAGAGAAAAACTGTTGACAATAAAAGGTGACTAAAAATTATCTAGAAAATCGGCAAAAATTTTACTGTTCGAAAGGTAATCGTGAAGCGAAATTGTAATTCAATAAAAAAAATACTTTGTGCGAAGAATAAAAAAGAATCGTATCCCAAACATCAGTGAAATATTCAGTGTTAACAGTGAAATTTCACTTTCTGTGATCTTTGCTTAGATTACCCACTTCTGTAACAGTGAGAAACAACATTAGAAGATTCGCAGAAACATGTCTGGAGTATCACGTGTGCAAGGATTTCGAGCGAATCGATCTAAAAAAATCGGTTCAAGACTCGAGCAACAAAAAATTTTGCTTCTCGCCCGGAAAGCCTGGTTCGTTGGCAGAAATAAAACCCGACGCGCACGAGATTAAGCTAGATTTCGGACCTTTTCAGGTGATTTGAGGAGTCTTTGAATAGTCTTTCATGTAACACAATGAGGAGATGCTCCAAAGCGCTGAAATCATGTCTTTTTAGGACCTGACGAATAAAATCATAGATGTAGTCCTGAAGAACGCGGTGAAAGATTCTACAGACAAGGACGGTGCATTGATCCTACCAAACATCACGCATAGATGTCCAGCTGGCGTCAACACTCTCGAGATAAGAGGTGGAAAATTCCGGTGAGAATAATCCCATTTAGAAATAATCAATCCACTTTTCTCGGTGAATTTTCAGAGCGAATTCTAATCATTCCAGTGACCTGACGAAGCTCCGCAGATACGGCGATTTGAATATGACGAAAATTGGAAAGAAATTCGTACTCTCCATGGGTTTTAAGCTACCAGTCATAGAATTGGAATTCCCGCAGTACAAATTTACTCATCGACCAGCAACTGTTCGAATCCTTAAGAATGTTATCAATCATGATGACAATGTTTCAAAGCAAGGTCTTGTAAATATAATCGGTCAGCTCAACGTGACTATCGGTGGAATCAAATTGGACACTGCTGTGTCTGCCGACTACTCTCAACAGCCGTGTGCCCAAAAGGTAGAAAAAATTAAAATCGCGAAAATTGGAGACATCAAGGTTGCCCTCACGGGTTTGGGGGCCTTGTCGGGATTGTTTCAAAAGATAGTAAACATGATCACTGATATCTGGCATCGTAGTATTGTCAAGACATTGGAACGTTCGCTGGTAGAGAATGCGCAAAAAGGCATGTCAGAATCGAATTGTGAGAGATTTCGGCCTAAGTGACCAGATGGAAGAATCCTTATAGCATTTGTCAAGAGAATAAAAGTATTGACAAAAAAATTTCACTTTCGGAATTTAAGTTTTCGAGGTGAAACTGTTTCCGATAAGTCTTCGTCAATGGTAAGAGCGCTCGTGAGGCCTCATTACTGGTAACAGTTACTAGTTTCTTTAGTCAACTAGATGGTGAGACATTCAGACCGTAAAAAATGTAGACTTTTGTAACACTTCTTCCGACAAAATAAACCATTGTCATCAGCCAACGTAACACATTGCGTTTTCCGTTAAATAGCTACCATTATTATGAGAAAGTAATAGTGAATGATCGTATTATGCGCCGTGACTTTCTAGTCTGAGTTGTTGAGGCAGATTACGTGTAATATAATACTGCAATCTACTTACGTCTTCGAACACAATCTTTACGATCAACGGGTCAATTGAGACGTAATAAAGCACTGATTTTTGAGAGTAAAAAATATATTTATAACTGATCATCTCGCACTACAGTGGCAGCAACTGGTTCCCCCGCCTCCGCCCCGTCCTCGTTCTTCGGTGAAGAAGACGAGGCAGAAGGAGCAATAATTTCCTCTTCACCTCCAGTAACTCCCTCCCTCCCACCAACTTGACCTTCATCACAGTTTTTAGTTTCACTACTTTGAGACGGAGATAAATTACTATCACCACTGTTAGTGGAGCCCTTCAGCGCAAAGTACTCGTCAACAGAGCCAGTTGGTTTGAATTTATCTTTCGCATCATTATCCTCGTTTACTTTCGGAGTTTCTTTAGGTGAATTATTCAATTTGGATAGTCTCTGCCGTTCTCGCAGACGTTTCCTTATCTCCGATTGAATTTTAGATTCTTTAATTACACTCTGAACATTGTCGGTCTGGTAATAACGACTTGCCCATGTCTCGGCTGACCCCTCATCCTCCCCCTCACCAATTACCTCCTTCACCACCTCTAGTTTCTCCGATTTCTCCTCAACCTGAGGCACACTCTCTTCAGGTTCAATATTGTACATGTCATCAGGATAATCATCCAGATCTATTATTTCCTCGTACTCCCCCAATTTATCATCACTCTGAGGAACAGTTTTCTCCCCAGATTTTTCCCCCCTCTGCTCCCCCTTCCCACCCTGAATTTTTATCTCCTCAGACGAATCAAGTTCCCCCTCCTCAAGCGGTTCAGATTCCTTTTCCTTCGTATTTGCAACCTCTAATATGACATCTGTTGCTTCAGGACATTCAGAGAGGGACTCACTTCTGGCTCGTATCTGACGTCTTCTCTTTAATTTTCTCAGTGTTTGCTTTACCGTTTCTGACGATTCGTTTGATCCAACTGAAGCTTCTTTAATCTCATGCTGAGGGGCACAACTCCCCGTGGAACCAGGCTCTTCAGTTATTGCTGGTGTTTTATGTATTTCGACACTCTTCGCAGTCTCAGGTTCAACAACACGTGGAGGAATAGCCTCCCTGGGAGTCTTCTCCGGGGCTCGTTCACTCTCCAGTTTCTTATTCACTCGTTCATTCAAATTCTCGGATTCACTGTCACTCGATATCAGTTCAATCGTCGGAGTGGGCTTGACGAGGAGCACTACATCCTCGTCCTCACCGATTTTTTCAACTAGAGTCTCGGATGTTTCCATTGGTGCCAGTGCCCTCGAGCTTTCGCCCATCGTTTTATTTTTGACGTTTAGAACTGAATTTAGGGTTGTTTTCAGTGCACTCTTGTTGGAGGCCATTCTCTGCTCGAAGTCTGCGCTGGGGATGATGTCCTCTTTACGAATGAGGGCTCTGATGGCTCGGGCTCGCATCTCTAGCTCCAGGAGGTCCAGGAGGCTCTCCCCCTCCTGCTTTGGGGGCTCATTCTTCTCTTTTTTTATCTTGACGTTTTCGGGCTCTGGGGCACGAATTTTTCCTCTGCGGGGCTTTTCTCTCTCGGGGGGAGGCTTGCTTGGGGCTTTGCTCTTGCGCTTCGTCTTGAGCTTTTTGGATTTAGAGCCTGGGGACAGGGGCTCCTGCTTGACGTTGGCGTCCTCGTCTGTCAGCCACTCTTCTGTGTCGGATATGATCTCTAGGGAGGGACCCGAACCGTCGGAGTCACTGGTGTCAGAGGAACCGGACATTGGTGTACCGTTCAGAATTGACAGTATTCGGGTTTTCGACATACCACACAGCTCACTCGCACACCACTCCTCCAATTCACTCAGCTCCATCTTCTGTAATTGATGATGGGGGGTCATTAATTGCGATGTTGAGAATTTTTCGGGTGAAATTTCTGGGACAGTTCTTTGAAATTTTTAACGAGTTTTAGTTTGACTGATATATCAAGGTATTTGGTCATTTTATTTGATTTTGTCTTTATTTCATTCCTCGGAAATTAAGGATGTTTCGCCGTTTTCAGCAAATCTTATTTTTTCGTGTTCAAGGGAAATTCTATAATTTTTTTGGGTAAGTAAACTTGACTGATAATTTCAGCATAATTTGGTACTGAGAATTCATATTCTCGTTGAAAATTCAAGTAAATTGAGGAATTCTCGTCTTCCTGCTGCATAGAATGATCATAATATTAAATTTCATGATTTTAAATAAATTGTAAATTGAATTCAATTGTCCATGAAATTTCAAACTTTTTTCCAATAGTGTTTATTCATATTGATGTTGATACTGACTATGAAAGAAGGAAAATTACTTACCTTGAGGACCTGTGGCAACATCATCCTGAGTTTTTCAATTTTTACTGATTTGAACAATTGTTTTGCCACTTCTGTACGATTTGACAGGTAATCCTTGATTGGTTTCAAGTCACCATCGCTGCCGCTGTCTTCATCAGATGAAAATGATGAGGTACTGGAGTTGCTGCTTGATACCTTCAATACAAATTGAATTTCCTGAGTATTTGTATTTTCAAAGTAGTTATAAACACTATTTACAGTTCTAAACATCAAAATAGTTATAAACAATTCTTGAATTCTTTAAATTTCTGCAAAAGTTCCTTCAAATCATTAAAAATACAGAAAATTCTTCGATAAAAACATTCAACGACTTCAAGGAATGATTTTATGAGAAATTTATAAAAGAAGCTTACAGGGAATTTTTATAGGGGAAGTTGGGATAAAACGGACACTTGACAAAAAACAATTCTTTCCCTTTGTGACGAGCCTAAACTGAGCTCAATTGATCAATTTGTTTCTGAGTTATGAATAATTTCAAAAAAGTCTAAAGTGACCATTTTACCCCACCCACCCCTACATGAAAATTATTTATGAAATGATTTTCTCCATGAAGAAAAAATCATCCCACTTCATCAACAATTTAAGAAGAAAGAGTCATTGTCACTGTGAATTTTCACAGTGGGACTAGCAGAAGAAATATAAAAAATAAATGAAATATGTAAAATTTATTATGGTTAATTATAAAGAGAAATTGAATTCTTGTGAGGAAGCTAAACTACCCATTTACCGAGACAAAAATACCAAGTGTTACCAAAAATATCGTATGCACTTGTCGAGTATTTCATCTCCTGAAGATTATTTCCCCTTATAACTATAAATAATTCTTCAAAAATGTAAAAAATTCTCCCTTGAAAAATAAATTCTCGATGGATTATAAAATACATCTCCAAACACCCCTCAACAACAATGTTTATTTATTAAAATAAACAACACTAAAAGACACAAGAACGAACTTCAAAAAGAATGCAAAACGTTGTCTGCATGCACCAACAATTCACCTATTTCGCCTCACAACGACAATGAATCCTGTACCTCATCCTTGGACACTGATTTCTTCAGTCTTCCCTTCACGTCACTCATCTTCCCTTCGCAATAATTCTCGTAAATTCCTCTCAACACACTCGTACTCCAGTTCTCACAGTTCACAGCATGTTTATAACCTCAAAACCACTTGTCAGACTCCCAAAAACCCCGTTCCGAGCCAGCAAACGTCCCCCTGACCGCCAGAAGTTAAAAAACCGACTGAAAATAACCCAGGAATTCCCTCCACAGCCCGCGATTCCCTTATCAGCAACCGATACCCGATATCTAGAGCAAAATTTCAGCGCTCCTCCCCCCACACCCGGTGCAATAATCAGTAAAACTGCGCATGCGCGACCGTTTAACATTCAAGAATAAAAAACTGGGGTGGTGGAGTTGAATTCAGTTCTCTAGTGGCCGGTTTGAGAAGGACTGCCACAATAGAGATTGTCTTTTAACAAACTATTTTATCCGGAGCGCCTGCGTATTTTCCTAAATTTTCAGTTAATCGAAACCAAAAATTCGCGTTTTTTAATCAACCACTCAACAATGTCGTACTGCGCTCGTATTTTGCGCGCACAGGTGAGCACAAGTGTCTTAAATACCTCAATATCACGTGCTAATCCTATTAGACAATTTGTATTTTTAAATGTCAAATGATCTATTTATTTTCGCAACGACTGGTTGACGATTATCCCAGAATTATTCTCACGTTGGCGGATACCTCGACCTGAATAAAGGTCTCGACACTTGATCTCGTGCTCCAAAAAACCGGCTCAATATGCAAATATCGGATTTTTTTCATTCGCATTCATGATTTATTGGCAGCGAGCGAATTAATCGTTGAGAAATGATCGATTCGTGTCGGGTTTTTCGGAGCCAAGTGACGGGGACGACTCCTGCTCGACTCTCCAACAATTTTAATGTCGAAATTGGGGGGCGGGGGGGTTGTCACGGTGAAAAAGTCCGGCTATTGCATTAGGGAATAAAAATATTCTCAATCTTACATAACGTTTTGATGTTGCGTATATAGGGAGGCTGTATGATTCTAAGGTTATGTGAGGTGCGGTGGGTGCGCATGACTTGTTTCATGTGTGATAGAGGATTTTTTGAATAATTCGGAAACTCGTTTCGTCGGGAGACCTTTTCGCCCGGAGAGTCACTTGATTTTCGGACACTTTTACTGAATTTACATAGGGGCGGGTGGGGTAAAATGGACACTAGAATTTTGTTAAATTATTCATAACTCAGAAACAAATTTATCAATTGAGCTAAGTTTGGGCTCATCACAAAGGGAAAAAGTTGTTCTTTGTATTGAAAAAAAATTATTAAATTTCACCAACATTTCAACCCCTCATTAACATTTGAAAAAAAATCAAAAGTGTCCGTTTTACCCCAACCTCCCCTATAAATCATCATTTTTGAGGGCTCAAATGTATAGCATCTTAAATGTCAATATTTATCAGAATTTTTTATTATTTCTCTGGGGATTTTTTAGTTCAATGAACAGAATAAATATTTCTTCGAGATTTCCAAAACGAAAAGGTCTATTATTTCTCTGAATTCATAAAAATTTTTTGGGATAAAGACTTATTGCAAACAATGGAGTTCGTTTTCGTTAATTCCATGTTATTTGTAAATGTTAAGTTCATTAGTTAACTGTAAATGTTGATTCAAAATTGTAATTTGAGCATGTGAAATCCTCTATTAAAAAATACGTGAAACATTTTTGATCAATCTATTTTACCAAGCATGTGCTAGACTTGAGAATATTTCAAGTTTATCTTAGCTTATGAATAAAAAACATAAACAACGTGAATTTTTCGTCGTCAAAATTTTTAAAGATCATTTTCTAAAAAAATTTCTTACATCTGAACATAATACAAGCGGACATTAACTCCTGTTTAATGAATAAATGAATACATAATGATCGAAAATAAGATGCAGAAAAGAATGACGAATCATACGCGCGCGAAGCGCGTCCCCTTTTTCTAGTTCAAGAAAAAGAAAATACAAGAAAAGTCAGTCAGGGCCCGAGTTTTATAAATGTTCTGGTTTTCTTGAATTGTACAAACTTGAATTATATACGTCAAATCGTGCTCAATAAATCCACATTTACAAGTGTGAATAGTCATGGACGAAAAAATTTAATAGAAAAACCTATCGAACTCGTTGGAAAATTCTATTGAATTTCTATTGAACTGTTCTATTAGTTTTTAGCCGATTCTATTGAAATGTTCAATAGAAAATATTCAGTAGAAAAAGTCAATAAAATCCTATTTTTCTACATAACTTATTCTATTGAGATATTTTCTATAGAATTTCCTCGGCTCAAATTTTCCAAGTTTTTTCGTTTGATTTTCTTGATAAGAAGAAAAGAAAAATAGAATGAAAAAAACTTATAAAATTTGAGTCGAGCAAATTCCATAGAAAATATATGAAAAGAATAAGTTATATAGAAAAATCGAATTCTGTTGGCTTTTTCTATTGAACATGTCAGTAGAACAGCCAAAAACTAATAGAAAGTTTAATAGAAATTCAATAGAATTTTCTAACGAATTCGATAGATTTTTCTATGAAATGTTTTCGTGCGTGGTATAATGTGGAATTTAAATTGTTCAATGAGAATGGAATAAAATGGACACATTTGACTTTTTTTAAAATATAAACCACTTATTCAATTGTTGATGAAATGGAATAATTTTTTTCTAATGGAAAATAAAATTCGTGAAATGAGCTCCATGGATAAATCTCTTTCCGAGCTATGAATATTTAAAACAAAGTCAAAAGTATCCATATTACCTCATTCTCTCCTACGTACCAATTTAGTAAAATTCAACATGTGTATCGGGTAATTAGAATGTGGGGATTACAATTCCTAGAGAATGTCTCAATGCAAAATATCACATGTATCAAAAAAATGAAGGGACTTAATTCTGTATAAACTGGAATTTTCTCCATGAAATTGTCTTTCTGTTGAGCATTCATTCATTCGTATCATGCAAAATGCCCTCGATATCTTTATCATGAATACCACAAATGATGATTCCTTGATAACAGAGATAATCGATCGGTAGAATTGATCGAGGAAGGCTCTCACACCATCATCATCGAATATGATTGATGATGTTTTTTTGTGATGCAGCGACTCACTGGAATCGCTGCTGATATCCAACAAAGATGCTTCAGCATGAGTCCCCTGAGCTTTGCTGCCGCCAAGGTGGCGATGTCAAAATTCGATCAGAGTGCATACCTTCCGTATGACAAGCTCGATGAGAACCTCAGAGTCGTCAAGAAAAGGTAACTCGAATGGGATCAAACTTTATATACTGTAAAAAAGAGATAAAAACGTGATTAATTAATTCTGAAATTTTCTGGAATAATAAATCTGTGGTTGAATGACCCAATTTTGATCAAGCAAGTCTCATTTCAAACAATCAAGCCAGAAAAAATATCATTTGTTTATTTCATCCTCTTCTTCGATAATTTTTTTTTTAAAGGAAATATTGGGAAATTTATTCTTCAGTTGAAGAGATTCTCTACTAGAAACGTTTCTCATGATTTCATAATAAAATTGTTTGTTGTCGAGGTCATTTGATGCTGAAGAATGAACAGAGAATTGTTTAATTACGTTTTGTTGATTCAGTTTCCCATGCAATTCGAGTGAATAATGAAATTTGTTGGGAATTCAAGGCTGGGACGACCTTTAACTCTCTCGGAGAAGGTACTGTACTCTCATCTCGATGAGCCTGACAAGCAGGAGATCGTCAGGGGGACGAGTTACCTGAGGTTGAGGCCAGATCGTGTGGCTATGCAGGATGCTACAGCACAGATGGCTATGTTACAATTTATCAGCTCTGGTACATAAATTCACTATCACTAGATGAAAAGATAACAAACTTGAATCAAGAATTTTAGAATTATTGATTCAAGAATGTTTTTCAATTAAAAAACAATTGGTGTTGCCTGAGAAATGAGTATTTTTAATTGAAAAATATTTATCTTATTTTCAAATGAAGAAATTTATGTTTTCCACTCAAAAGTTCTTCATATATAAGAATTAAAAAATCGAGAATTATGTCACAGATACAAAATATTTAGAATAAAAGAACTTGAATAATTATTAAAGAACCAGTAAATTTTCAATCCATAAAATATCATACTAGATCCAGGAATTTTTCTATCTTTAAATTAACAATTTGTGAAAATAATTACTTTATTAATTTATGAAATTGATGAATCCAATGTAAAAACTAAGGATTTCCGTATTCTCCCTGACATAATTCACGAATTAAAAAAGCTAGAATGATGTCACAGATACAAAGTATTTAAAATAAATGAATTGGACTGCAACATAATTACTAAAGGAGTAGTAAATTTCCAAATCAGAATATATCATACTTAGTCCAAAAAATTTAACGTCTATAAATTAATAATTTGTGAAAATGATAAATTTTTAATTCCCCTGACCCCCCAGGACTGCCCAAGGTAGCTGTACCATCGACAATCCACTGCGATCACTTGATTGAGGCCCAAGTGGGTGGTGACAAGGATCTGGCGCGTGCCAAGGACACAAACAAAGAGGTCTACAACTTCCTGCAAAGCGCAGGAGCCAAATACGGCGTAGGATTCTGGAACCCAGGCTCTGGAATCATCCACCAGATAATCCTCGAGAACTACGCCTTCCCAGGTCTCTTGATGATCGGCACAGACTCGCACACACCCAACGGTGGAGGTCTGGGTGGTCTCTGTATTGGAGTCGGTGGTGCCGACGCAGTGGACGTCATGGCGAACATTCCCTGGGAGCTGAAATGCCCGAAAGTAATCGGAGTCAAGTTGACGGGAGAGCTCAAGGGCTGGACCAGCCCCAAGGACATCATCCTCAAGGTTGCTGGCATCTTAACGGTGAAGGGAGGCACTGGCGCCATTGTCGAATACTTTGGACCTGGTGTGGACTCTATCAGCTGCACGGGAATGGCCACAATCTGCAACATGGGCGCTGAAATTGGCGCCACAACCTCGGTATTCCCCTACAACTACAGAATGCAGGACTATCTGAAGGCAACTGAACGTGCGGACATTGCAGCTGCTGCTGACATGTTCAAAACTAGTCTCTTGAGTGCTGATCCCAACGCTAAGTACGATCAAATTATTGAGCTCGATCTCACGACCCTGGAGCCACATGTCAATGGGCCATTCACACCTGATCTTGCCAATCCCATCTCGAAATTGGGAGCTATTGCCAAGCAGAATGGCTGGCCCAATGAAATTAAGGTTTGTCGGTTTTCAATTGTTATCTTCAATTTTGGGGAAAAGATGAAATTGCGGTGGGCTTGGAGTTTTTAGGAAAAAATCATGAAGTTTCACGGCCAAAAAGTTGCATTTTCCTGGGTTCTCTTAATTCTCATGGAATAATTGAACAATTTACACTTTCCATTGATTTTTACTTCCGAATGAAAACTTTGTTCAAGTTTAAAATTTGGATTTTTTGTGTTATATTATAAATGTAGGTATTGTTGAGTCCTATCCATCGTCATTAATTAAAATTCAATTCATCGATTAGTTTTTTAATTTTCGAATTTTTTCGAAAATCGGTTATCCCACGATAACTAAAAAAAATGTTCTGAATTGATTGAATGATGGTTTAAACAATCTGTTTGGATGTCTTTTTAACCGAGTTCGAAGATGAAGGCGATAGCAATAATCGTTATTTTTATTTATTTGAACATTTTCAAAAATTTGGTATTTTTTGAAAATCAGAATTCCGGGGATGTCTTTGAATATCATGCTTCAAATGAATTCAATCACAACTTAAAATGTTTGTTTTAATGCCATTAAGTTAAGTTAAAAGATGATTACGATAGCTATATTGGTTGATTTGAATTTTATGATGATTGTTGAAAATTTCGGATTTTTCATGAATTTCCCTGAAAATGAGATTTCTGATGATTTCTTCAAATGTGATGTTTCAAATGCATTCTTGTATGTGTAAATAAAATTTTTCTATTAACATTCTATCGAAGGGCTGAGGGGAGAGATAGAATCGCAAAAAAGACAATCGGTTGTATAGAAGAAAGGGATAATGAGAATAATAATGATGATAACATTCAACTAAGTTGAGAATTTGACAAAATTAGTTAAAAACAAATCTCATTTAATAGGATAAAATGGAATAAACAGTGAATTATACATGATAAAAGGAAACAACGTGCAAAATAACCATTTGGAAGCATATTGCTAATTTATTAGCAAAAATAATTATACTATATGCAATACAAGAGCAATTTCCCACTTGTTTAATGAAGTTTTGAATTTTCAATTACAGAAAGTCTAAATATTTCAAATAATTACAGGTCGGACTGATCGGTTCCTGTACGAACAGCTCTTACGAGGACATGGCGAGGTGCGCAAACATCGCCAAACAGGCGTTGAAGCATGGAATTAAATCCAAATCCACATTCAACGTGACTCCTGGGTCCGAGCAGATTCGGGCGACAATCGAGAGGGATGGAATTGCTCAGACTCTCAGAGAATTCGGGGGGATTGTGCTGGCTAATGCCTGCGGTCCCTGTATCGGCCAGTGGGACAGGCAGGACATCAAGAAGGGGGATAAGAACACCATTGTCACTTCGTACAATCGTAATTTCACCGGGCGAAATGACGCCAATCCTGCCACTCACGCCTTCGTGACGAGCCCTGAGCTTGTTACAGCACTTTCGATCGCTGGGCGCCTCGATTTCAATCCACTGAGTGATAAGCTGAAGGGGAAGGATGGAAAGGAGTTCTTGTTGGATAATCCTTATGGTAATTAATGAGTGGAATTTTTTCGGGGAATTAATTCCGAAAGTTTTCCAAATTTTCTATTCAGGTCTCGACGTTTCATGCGATTTTTTTGCCTTCATTTATTTTGAATCATTCTGACCCTCGTGACCCTAAAAAAAATATATATCAGCTATATGGTCAGTTTTTGGTGATTGTTGAATTATTTAGGAGATGAGGGACATTTTACTCTGACATTTTACTTTGAATTGAACATTTATTCTGATTTTTTTAAACAGATAAAAAACTAACATAATTATCACTAATTAAATTCAAAGATCCCGTCAATTATTGAATTATTGTAGTAATGAATAGTGTTGGGTGAAAGATCCTGTTGAGGTGTCTCAGAAAGTTATTAATTCTTCAAATAAATGAAGAATTACGAAAACTATTCTTCTCCAATTAACAAAAAATGATGAAATTGGTCCATTAGGAAAAAAAAATCATTTGAATAATGTTCCCAGGTGACGAGCTTCCATCCCGAGGCTTCGACCCTGGCCAGGAGACCTACAATGCCCCACCAGCTGACGGTAGCAAGGTAAAGGTCGACGTGGACCCCAAGTCCCAGAGATTGCAGCTTCTTGAACCTTTCGACAAATGGGACGGCAAGGACCTCACTGATTTGACAGTTCTCATCAAGGTCAAAGGAAAGTGCACTACTGATCACATCTCAGCGGCTGGACCATGGCTGAAGTATCGAGGTCATCTTGACAATATCTCCAACAACATGTTCATTGGGTAAATAAATTTTGAATTCTTCGCATTTTATTGAAAATTAAATTATTTAATTATTATCATGAAATAATTTTCATAATTTAATTTTTAATAAAATGCAAAGAATTAAAAATTTAATTAATAATAAATTAATGATAATAATTGAATAATAATTAATAATTTATTATTATTGATTATTATGTCATTATTTTCTATTTTTATTGAAATTAAATTGCAAAAAAATGAAGTTTCTTCTGAAAATTTCATCAACAAAGGATCGAAATCATATTATAAATGCCAGTGAACCATTTTTTATCGTAAATATTCAACTCTCTGAGAGCTCAAGTGAATCAATTTCTATTTCGTTAACATCAGAATTCAATTTCGTGATGAAAACTTATATAAATTGACTTTTAATCATCAAACTAGTCAACTTGTTTCCGTAAATACTTCAATAATGCCCCTCGAAACTGTACGAAAATTACTTTCACATCACTCCACGCTCGATTTTCCCCCGCAGGGCTGTCAACGCTGAGAATGGTGAAGTGAATAAAATAAAAAATCAACTGACCGGTGAGTGGGCTGGTGTGCCAGACGTGGCCCGTCATTACAAGAAGAATGGAGTAAGATGGTGCGCAGTTGGTGACGAGAATTACGGAGAGGGCTCGTCTCGGGAGCATGCCGCCCTGGAGCCACGCCACCTTGGTGGACGTGCCATAATTGTCAAAAGTTTTGCACGTATTCACGAGACAAATCTCAAGAAACAGGGCATGCTGCCACTTACATTTGCAAATGCCAGTGATTATGACAAGGTTCAGCCAACTGATAAGATCAGCCTTCTGGGACTGAAGGATCTTGCGCCTGGAAAGGTACGACATTATCTCTTTATTCAGTAGTTTGAGAGGAAATTCCTCGAAAAAATTTTCCCCTAACAGATTTTTCCCAAGAAAAAAAGCATCTGAAATTTCCCTTGAAAATAAAAAAAGCCAATGTTTGTCATTAATTTTTTCATTTTTTTCCACTCAATGATCATTTTTCGGACAAAAAATGACGAAGAGAAAATTTCCGGGAATTATCTGCAACGGAAAAAACCTCTGGAGAAGACTCTGAATGCAAAATTAAAGAGTTAAAAAGACCCCGCACACAGCTCTTGCCAAAAGCAAAAAAAAATAGTTAATCATCTCCCTATCCTTTCCTTTGAAACGATCCCCAAAGACTAATTCAAATTTCCCCTTCAATTCCAGCCCGTAAAAGCAGAGATCAAACATGCAGATGGAAAAGTAGACACAATTACCCTCAATCACACCCTCAACGAGCAGCAAATAGGATGGTTCAAAGCTGGATCAGCCCTCAACCGTATGAAGGAGATAGCCAGTGGCCGTTAGAAAACCCACCATCACCAAGCGAAATTCAATAAAAGAACACTGATGAAAGCCAAACAAGCACGCAGTCGACTCCGCGTAGGTTGATATTTAGATTACAAGCGAATTATAAATAAAGATTAATGAAAGGTATACTGGAAGAGTCACAGTGTCCGCGAGTTGGTGAATAGTCCACGAGAGTAATAATAAACGATTGATGAAGCCACGTAGTCAGATGAGGAGAAAATTATCGAAACAATAATGTAAAAAACGCAACAGAATGCTCGAAACAATGACGATGAGTCGTTTCAGGATTTGAAAAAGAGAATATGATTTTGTATTAGGACAATAACAGCATCGAATCGCCTTTGTATCTTTTCACTTCATCAATTCAACGATTTTTATCGACAAAAATCACGCGCTCATTTGACGTCTCGAGGGATTGGGGGCATCGACGTGTCCATCATCAGCCTCGTCGTCGATTCCTCTGACCCCTCGACGTCAACAAGATAAATTATACCATTGAAAATTATGTTGCCATGCAATCGGTGATCGTGTACATGAAAATTCTATGACGTGAGTTTTTTTAATTAGATTATATACATAAAGATCATTGTTAGATCGAATGAGCTTGTACATTATTGATTATGCATTGTCATTTAGGAATACGTTTGATGGCTTTAACGAGTCATGATGAATTCCAGTTTAAGGAAAAATGAAAGCCAAAAGTGAAATAATAAAAGTGAAAATGAAAAAAGTGTTTAATTTACTGGGGGGCACCAGTTGGACCGTGCGGTTGTCGTTGGCATGGCAACGGCGTGGGTAAACAATGGATATGCCATCGAGCTAGCCAGTTGTTTACAGCTGGAGTCATGATGGGGAGAACTTTTGGTGGAGTTTATTGAATAGACATTGAGGTGACGTAAAATGTCGAATGGAGAATTTTTTGTTTGTGCCACCGGGTCTATTGAGTATGGAATGTTTTATGAGATTGATAATGCTTATTGCAAGTATCAGTACCACTTCGGGGATGACTGGAGCATTGTTGCGGTAAGTATTTTATTTTATTCGTTTGAAGAGTTTGGGGGCTACTGCACGGTTGGAAAATTACTTTTGTTGTAAATTGGATCCCTGATTATAAATTATTATTATTTGATATTTTATATTTTATTATCTTGAGTCTCCAATGAAATTACAATTTTTGAGTAGCAAGAAGACGAGAATTCCCAATTTACTTGGATTACCAATGAAAATATAAATATTCAATTCAAATTACGTTGAATTTTTAATTCATTGAATGTTGAAGAATGTATTTAGTGGAATTGTCCTGATTTCTATTAATTTTTAGGGAATAGTTGAATGGAAATTCATCGTTACCCTCGATTTTTCCATAAAATTTTGTATTTTTTAATGAGACAATTCAATCTGATGAAAATTTCCAAGAAGTGTACCGCGAATTTCAGCCAAATATTTTTATCTGTATTAATTAGATTCGAATTTTCAGTTCCTCATGATGAGAACTATTTTAATATATTTTTTTCCAGGTGTATACCCTCTTGGCTTTTTACATTTTGCTCCCTTCCCCTTGTCCCATAAAATACGGTCATGAATACAAACATTACATGTAAGAGAGAAAATGCATATACATTTTACATTTTTACATTTAATACCCAGCTGGAAAAAACTTTCAAAAGATTAACCAATATTAAAATCCATTTTTACTGTAACAAACTACGTTCAGTCTCCCAATCTCAGCTATTTACATCGAGACCTTTGAACTGGAGGAGAGAAAGCACAAAGAGAATTATTGAAATGTTAGAAGAAATGTGAAATAAAAAAAATAAAATGCAAAATAATAGTTCTGGGAATGAACTTTTTAATAATTATTCAATTAAAATTGTGAAAATTCTTCCAACTAATTTTCAGAATTCTCAATCTATTAAAAATTCAATCGTCATTGAAATATCAGTAATTACTCAATTGAAAAAACTCAATTTCCTTAAATTTTTTAGATGAATGAGAAATTTCATTAACTATTAAATATCGAATTGCTTTCAAATTCGCAACATTGAGATGCGGCAATTACGAATATTTAAAAAACTCCCAACAGTGCAAATGCATTAATCAATGATTCGATGTGATCGGTTTCCATTAATCAGGGAATTGAAGAAGGCATCACTCAGATGTGCAAATGTACCAACGACGCGCGACGTCTTGCTGTGTGGAATTTTCCCCTTGATGTTACATTCAAATCGATGAATCCTTACGGATGTAAGTGCACCGGACATTCAATAATTTTTTCAATCAGAACGAGGGGAATGAATTGAATGAGTGAAATGAACAAATAATTTATTCGTCGGGGCATTTTCAGGGCCTCAAATGGTCTTCTCAATTTACGGTCTCGACGTCTTTGGACATGACATCGTGAAAGGATACGGGGTGTGTCGTCTGCCCCTAACGTCCGGACGGCACGAGAAAGAGTAAAATTATCTTTAATAACTCCGGTCTTTATACAAAGGCATTGACCCGTGGTAATTCAAAATTTACATCGCAGGACTTCAATTTACGTTCCCGAGTCTTCCTCAAAACTCCAACAATTTGCTGCTTGGCTGACTGGACGCAGACCCGAGCTAATTGAGCCCTCGATACTGGCATCAGGCAACGGCCGAGAGCGTAATTAATCCATCATTAAGACGATCGTGCTTATTCGGGGGAAGAATCTGGTACCAAAGATGTTCGACTAACTGTTCAATGTTCAGTCATCCTGTTATTATCGAACAATTTCGTACCAGACTCGCAGAGCACTAATTATGGCAGCTGTTTCAAATATCATTGTCGGAATATCACATGAATGAATATCATGGAGAGGAAGATCCTAATTTAAAAAAACAAAAGGGAATGATCATCTTGGAAAAATAATAATTACTGACAGATATTTTCAGGACATTGACTTCGATTTCGGGGGAAATAAATTGGGAACTTGTAAATTTTTAATCAAAACATGAATAGTCAATATCAAATTGCGTTTGAAATTTAATTAATCGGGAATTCAAAAATATATTTACCTTGTCTTATTCCATTTTCGTGGAATAATTCAACTGGAATTTTCAATTTCTATCGATTTTCCTATATTTTTTAAATTCCAGTGACAAAATAGAGGAAAATTTTTTCATTTTACTAAAAATTCAATGAAATTTCAAATTGTTGAACAGCAGAAAAACATACTGGAATTTCCAACTAAAACATGAATATTCAGAAGTATATTTGAGAATTCAAAAATATATTTACCTGAATTTTCAATATTTCTATTAATTTTCGTGGAATAATTAAAAAGAATTTTTCTATCGATTTTTCCATGAACATGAATTAAAATTTCTAGTGACACGGATGAGAGCCCAGGGATCCATAAGTGTGACATTCAACATCGTCCTCAAGGATTTTCATAAGCTGGGGTATGATAATGGAGAACGCGACAAATAGAAGACCAATTTATTGAACAAATAGGTGTATTTATTAACAAAATAACTGTAAATACTGGAATAAATACTTTTGAATGCATGAGTTGCCTCAAAACTCATTTCGTAAATCAAGACCCGATATATTCTCGAATATATCCATTGGTACGAACTCAACAGAATTAATTAATTCCTCAATACGCGCTCCCACAATTCATCAATCGAAGTCGGCAGTGCAGGTGGTGCAGAGCAATTCATCGGCAGTGACGTTAGGATAAATATCCAGAAATTCGAAAACAACTCCATTCGTCCATCCAAAACCCTGCTGGCACGTGTACTCTCCTCCGGCGCCGAATTTTCCTGGCTCTCTCGCATCGTACTTCAAAATATATTCACAATGTCATCGGTAATGATTCGCGCGTGTGAAGATAAATCATTTCGTCTTTAGACGTAATTTTTTTCTGAATATCTCGTAATTAAAGGGACATATCGAAATTTTTCCATGAAAAAATTGAGACGTGAACAAAATATGTGAATGCATTATTCGAGTTTTCAATAAATATCTGCATTCTTGGAAAATTTAATTCATCCACTAGTTTTTTCAAATTTCGGTTGCCCCACGATAACTTAAAAAAAATGTTCTGAATTCATTGAATCATGGCTTAAAAAATTTGATCGATTATTTTGACTTATTTGAATATTTTCAAAAATTTTGTATTTTGCGAAAATCAGAATTCCGGGGATATCTTTGAATATCATGCTTCAAATTAATTCAATCATAGCTTAAAATGTTTGTTTCAATGCCATTAAGTTGAAGTTAAAAGATGATTACGATAGCAGCATTGGTTGATTTGATTTTTATGATGATTGTTGAAAATTTCGAATTTTTCATGAATTTCCCTGAAAGTGAGCTTTCTGATGGTTCCTTCAAATATGATATTTCAACTTTATTCCGATGGATTTTGTTTTATTTTGCATTACAGAATCCGAGTGGAAAAACTTGGAAAATTTATGCCCAATAATTCTAACAGAAAAAAACTCAAGAGAAAAATTTCAACAGAAATTCGAAATCTATAGACTTTTTTTTATCGAATATCCAACAGAATCAGTGCAAAAAACAAATAGAATTTTTCAATAGAATTCCAATATAAATCCCATAGAAAAGCCATAGAATTCCTATAGAATTCCAATAGAATTTTCTAGCGAATTCGCTAGGATTTCTGTTAAATTTTTTCATGCGTGTAGTTAAAAAGACATCTTATTCAATTTGATAAAATAAAATAAAATGAATGATGTCCAAAATAACCATCCGGAAGTATATCGCCAATTTCCCACTTGTTTCTTCTAGACTTCGATTTTCTCTCCAAAAAATGTCTTTCCAAAAAGCTTTCCATCTCCCCTCCATTCGCAGACATTCCCAAAAAAACCTCATCTCCAAAATGAATTATTTCCTCACACATCATGCCTCGCCAACTTATTCATCCCCGCACTATGCTGAAATTACCTTTTCAAACATTTTCCCATATTTCTGAAAGCCTAGGTACATAGCTCTCAGCCACCTGGTCGCGAGTGTCTTAGCAACGCTCATAGCAGGCTCCACTCCGGTATTCCGAAGCCCTTGCACCATGATGGATTGGAGAGGCGGCCAAGCATTGGGTGCGTCCCATTGTTGTCCAGTCTCATCCAGCGAGGCCGGTGTGCCCCCTAATCAATCGAAAAGAGTACAGCATTAAATCACAGCCCACCGCCGCCCTTTCGCGCGACTTCCTACCCATAAAATCTCCAATCCGTCGGCGCTTCAGATATTCCACGGTTCTCTTAGCATAAATTTCGCCGTGACTTCTATTAAAGCTCCCGGTGTATAGAGGCGTCAAATTCGTCGGATAGAAGATATCTCTCGGTCGTGCATTTTTCATATCGTAATCCAACCAAATACCTTCATCCTCATTCCAGAGTACGTGATCAATACCACGCTGATACGTTGCGGCAATGTCTTCGTAAAATTTCGCTCTCTGCACAAGGGTGAGGGAGGAGAAGAACATTCATGCATGAAAGAATTTGTTTTGCTGTTCATTTTGAAGAGGAAACGTCGATAGTTGATCTTTGTGCAAGACTTGTTTTAACACAGCTATTTCTCGATAAAATGAGCTATTACACAATTGAGTCCTTTCATGTTTTGCATCAACCCTTTGTTAAAAGGAATTGGTATTGAACTCTACGAAATTAAGGATGTTCTACATCATTTTTCTGGCAAACTTATGATGGAATTGACGTGAAAAAATATAACGTTTTTGCGTTTTGTCATTATTTAATGACTGACGAAATTTTAAGGTGGTGCGAACATTTTCCTGCGTTTTCTCTAAACTTTTAAAAAAAATCACAAAACTGGGGAAAAAACGCATGAATATTATCGCACCACTACGCAACTTCGTGAGCCATTAAAGAATGACAAACCACAAAAACGTTATATTTTTTCACGTCACTCCCATCGATAATTTGCCAGACAAATGAAAACAACGTCAATTTTGGCTAAAAGGGTGTCGAACATCCTTAAAATGTACCAATCCAATTACACATTACGCAACTTGAATTTCAGATTGTATAACTCAAACTTGTAAATGTTAAGTTATTTGTGTGCAAGTCGACAGGTTCAATCTAAGCATGTGGAATTAAAAAAAAAAATTTTAATAATTCAGTAGCAAAGCGGTGAACCGGGTTAAGGATGTGTTACACCCTTTTCGCCAAAATTCACGTTTTTAGAATTTTTCTGGCAAATTGCTGATTGAATTAACGCGAAAAAATATATCGTTTTTACGTCTTGTCATTATTTAATAACTGACGAAATTTCATGATCGCCATTTGATCGTCATTTTCCTGCGTTTTTTCTAAACCTCGGAAATTCACAAAACTTTAAAAAAAAATCAGGAAAATGATTGCACTACCATGAAACTTCGTGAGTCAGTCAATAATGATACAACGCAAAAACGGTATATTATTTTGCGTCAATCCAATCAATAATTTGCCCGAAAAATGAAAAAAAACAGAATTTTGGCCGAAAGGTGTAGTACATCCTTAAGTCGATTTTGACTTTTGGCCAGTTTTTGATTAATATATCAGAATCTAAGAGAGATAGTAGAATTTTTCTTATGACCTTTTTCATAACCCTGAATTGGCTCTACAAAAAAGGTACTGAAAAAAATTCTTCTATCTCTTTTAGATTCCGAGATATTCGTCAAATACTGGCCAATAGTGAAAATCGAGTAAACCCGGTTTACCGCTTCGCTACTGAATTTAATTTAGAATTCTTGGAGAAAAAATAATAAAATAATTCTTCATTTTTTTTAACCTATAATGTTCAGTAAATTAAACATTCACATTCTTGCAACGAAAATGTCAGGATTACAATTTTTACACAGATAATAATAATGCAAATCATTATATAGATAAAAAAAAAATGAAGGAACTTCGTTTTGTGTAACAGCTAATTACGTCATGAAAATTCCGCGTTGGTGTTAAACTACGCAAATGATGAAAAAAAATCGGTAAATTCATTCCAAATTTGTCAGTAGCAACCATAAAAAAATTAATAGAATTCCCAAGTGAAAGCGCCAGATTATTCTATTCAATTATTTCATGCCCATTCCGTTTGATATTTTCCTTATTCACGAAGTTGTGAAATTTTTATAATTTGAATTTACGATTGCACAAAGGTTTTCCCTCACACTATGTACATAATGCATGATGCCGTCCCCCACGATACCCCGATATTAAATGATGAATAGAATTTTCGCTCTCGTGAACGTTTGGAATATTAATCATATAATTTTTTGGGCGAAAAAAAAATCAATGAAAATGAATGAAACTACGGGGTGTTCCATTTTTCTTCATTTATGAAATTCAAATGGAATTTACTGACCCTAGTGTTCCCCTGGATTCGGTGGAATTCACCGAGAAGCCGTGCATTGCGTTGGAGGAATGCATTGAGATCGACTGGTATAATATTTCGGGTGGAAATGTCGGAGAGATTGCCAAAGCCAGGGCCTTCCGAAATAAACCAGCGCGCTGAAAAGTCCCAGCCACTCTCCGCGCCTGCTTTTATTCCATCGTAAAATACCTGTTCGTCTATGTGTTTAACGTGACGCCGTGCCTCCTCGTAGTCCTCCCTGCGAGCCAAACGTATCGATAAAACATTTTTTGTGGCTTTATTATTTTTTTTTTTTTTCGAAATATTTTGTGAGCAGTAGAATATGTTTGAAGCTTTTGAAATGTTATTCATTTTTATTCCGTTATCTTGGGCGGAGATGCCTCGACATGTCACGACACGCGGAGATATTCTTTCAGAAAATATCAGTAACTGAAGAATTATTATGTTGTGAGAAAATTATTCCTCAAATTTCAAGTACGAAATCTTGAAACGCGGAAAGAGTATTGAATTGAATTGCGTATATTTTATATCAGAATCAAGTACATCCATAAACTTGATTGAAGTATATTTTATGCTCGAATGAAACTTGAATTGAAGACTTGTTCAATTCAAGTGCAACTGTTGCTCAATTTTCAAAAAAAATCTAATGTCGTAGAAAAAATATTAATGGATTGACTTTTTCAATTAAATCTTTTCCTCACAACTAATGGCATTGATCGAGCAAAATAACAAAAAACAATGGTGACGTATATTTTTTTTCACGTACCAATAGCTCTCGGGTCTGGGTCCCTCGCTGGTAACGACGTAATGGGCCATTCTATAAATTTTACGCCCTTTAATAACACTCACACTCTTGCCGTGATGAAAATATTCAAACTCTCTCTCCAGCAGTGGCAAGTGTTCGGATATAAATTTTGTATCATTAGTAGAGTCGACGTATTTCTTCACCTGGTGTGAATACAAAAAATTTATACGGAGGGATGATGGTTTCGGGGAATTACGGGGGTATAGTTACCATGGGAATGAGCAGTGGAGGCTGGCTTCTCATTAAATAATAAATCCTCCCTCCGTTGGGAACGAAACCGTACTCCTCGACCATTGACAGGAAATTCTCAAGCATTCCCTTTGCTGTTTTTTCCATACCCGAGAGGAGAAGACCCTCGATAACCCAGTACGTGTCCCAGTAATAAAATTCTGAGGGGGAGAATCGATTCTTTGTGATGAAAACTTTGTTTATGCGAAATCTCACGCGCCACTGGCTATTAAATTAGAACACACGGATTGTGTTTATTTAATTCCTGAGTAATTAATCCCAGTTGATTGGGTTGAAACCTTTATTGCGTGTGATGAAATATCAGTGAGGAAAATTTAATTGGCTCCATTTATCGGAGGTTTTACTGCAATCTGACATTTTTTAACAATGTCGTTATTTGAACTTTTTGGGGTTCGAATTTGGCTTCCATTTTGAATTGTTGAAAAATCAGTTTAAAAGGATTTTTCAATTTTGGGATTTAATTTTTAATTTTTTAATGTTTAAGGGAGATCCATAATAACCTCCCACTAGGCACTATAAATCCATTACCCTTTTGATTGGTTGAAAAATTGCTTTAAAATGGCCCAAAGGAATTTTAATATTTTTTAAATGATTTAAAAAATTTGAAATTCCAATTTTTAAGCGAGATACATGGAAAATTAAAAACTTTCTTTCGAAAATTTGAATTATTCCGAATTATTGGTTACTTCGAGTATAAAATGGTTAATAATTCATCTGAATGTTTATAATACCGATATCTGATATTTCCCAGTCCCCATGGTTTTCCATGCCAATAAAAGACTAAAAATAATGAATGATAAATGAATACTAAAATGCGTCATTGTTAAAATTATTCATAATACCCCTGAACCTCTCACCAGTCACGATAAATCCCTTTTCCATTTGGAATTGTTGAAAAATTATTTTTTATATGAATTTTTTTTTTATTCCTAATTGTTTTTTAATTAGGAATAAAAACTTATGCCCATATGTAAATACTTGGCTGAAAGCCTTCAGGCGATGGCCTATTGTAAGAAACTTATTTTTTTGTATATTTTTCTTGCAATAAATTTCGTTAAAAATTAAAATTAAAAATTAGAAATTCTTCGTATCAATAATTGACCAACAGATAATTAAAATATTAAAAATTCCATGCAATTCAATTTGAATTATTAAGAATTATTGGATTCATCTGCATGTTTATAACACCGAATTCTGATATTTTCCAGTCCCCATGGATTTCCACGCCAATAAAAGCCTAAAAATTATAAATGATAAATAAACACTAAAATGCGTCACTGTTAAAATTATTCATAATACCCCGGAACCTCCCACCAGGCACGATAAATCCATTTTTCACTGGAATAAGGCTGTGTCTCTCTGGATATCTGATGACATCCGGATGAACCGTCCTCGACAGATTTCTCCAGATGAAATTGAGCTTGATAATCCACTCCCTCATCCCCTCATCATTGATTCTGTCCAAGATAGCGGGTTTGGCTTGCCAGTCCGGTGGCACCCACGTAAGCAGTTCATTTTTCTTTCCAAAGTTTTCACTAACGAAGCGGGCCACTCGCGTTTTGTTTGGCTTACCACCTGTTGCCGACATCAACTCGTCGAAACTACCGGGGACAAGGATTTTCACAGTGTTATTGTTATGGGATAATAATTACATTTTCATTTCCCACCGAGATTATCGACCGCTTCACGTTTACGACAGGAGTTGTTACTCCTTATTCATGCGCAGCGAATCTGACGTTTTCAACGGAATAATGACTTTAAAATTAAAGCTTCAGGAGGGAGATTGTGTTTTACAAGGAAATACCCGGGGCATGGAGTTACCACTACCGAGAGGAATTATTTAATTTCCGTTTCCAACATTTTACAACGGCTTCCTTGCTTATCACGTGTTTTGTGTTATCGCGATGTAAGTGGAATTAATTTTTCAGGACTCAGTTCAGTCAAAAAAACTTCTGACGGCTGAAACATGTTTACTTGAGGCAAGTAATTTTTCTTCAATCGTTTAATTCTCCCGGGCATCTCAACTCACGTCTTATGCCTTAAGGAGATACAAGGGCTTTGGATATTTTTCTCCAGAAATGCTTTTCTACTTTTGTAGTCGAACATCAGAGCTTTCATGTGAGCACCGTTTGACCCTATGTTTCTGGAGATTTTACAATGATTTGATTATTTGAATTATTATTTATTTAAATTAAAAATTTGAAAAAATAGCAAGTTTACGTGTAAGTTTTGAAGGAAGATTGATGAAATAATTAAAAAATTAAAACTTTTGAAAATTATATGAATTTTATATAAATAATTTATTTAAATCACGTGATCGGAATCGTAACAAATTTATTCATATTCACAATTTTACCAGAAGTCGATTTCATGCTTAAAAAAATGTTTCAGAAAGTTTACACAATTTAAATTATTTATTTATAAACAATGAATGTTTAAAAAAATAATCATCTATCGCCGTTCCGTAAAGCGCAAACATTCTAAGATTTAAGCCATTGAAAATAATTTACTTTTCTCGAGTAAATATGGTCTGCAATTAGGAAATTTTTCTCTGCGTAGTTATGTACACCATTAAAAATCTTTGGGGAAAATTTTTAGTGTACTTTTTGGAAATTTTCATTACATTATAGTTTCACTAAAATTTCAAGGAACTTCGTTCTTGAAAATTCAGAATTGTAGGGAACAATTCATGAAAGCTGTAAAATTCCTTTCAATTATTCCGTGAGAATTAATAAAAATCAGGAAAATTCAGGTAAACATTCTTCAATTTTTTATAACTTAAAAATTGAGCACAATTTGGAACTGAATATTCATGTTTTCATTGAAAATCCGAATAAATGGTGCAATCTGAATAAATGGTGAGATTTTTTATGCAAAAAACTGCAGCAGAATGAGTCACATAGAACAATCGACATTTAGCAATTTTTTTCAGTCAGAGATTTTCTGTGAAAGCACAATTTTCAATAAAAATTGATAAATAAAAAATGAAAAAAAATCCTACGAGACTTCTAGTCCATCTTCAATAGAATTCTAATAAAATCTGCGAGAATTGCAACGAAAACCTCATTTCCTACAAAAAAGACCGGTAAAATTGCGGAATTCTTCGATAGAATCGTTCAAAAACTATTACAATTTTTAGGAGAAATCGAACAAAATTATCTATCGAATTCACTAGGTTTCTCTATAATTTCTCATTCCCCGCTCTACGGAAAATAGTCATCTCCCCCAGATCATCTAGAATTCATCAACCCTCCCCCCTTTTAACAGTCTGAATAATTATATTCAAATTACTTCTCCAATGTGATCTTCGGATCGTTCAACAGATACATGTCCACAAATGTTTTGCTATCCGGAAATATATTCGCCAGCTGCACAGTCTTCAATAGTAAGCTGTGGCAGTAAATAGGACTGCGAACAGAGAATAAATCATCCGCGATTGAAAATTTTCAATCAAAAGAGAGCAAAGAAGACGACACGCACGAGAAAATTGAATAGAAAAACCTAACGAATTCGTTAGGAAAATCTATAGCATTTCTATTGACTTTTCTATTCGTGTTTGGCCGATTCTATTGAAATATTCAATAGAAAATATTCAACAGAAAAAGTCAATAGAATTCGATTTTTCTATATAAAATAATTTATTCTCTTCAGATATTTTCTATGGGATTTTCTCGGCTCAAATTTCTTCTCAAAGTTTTTTTCATTCTATTTTTCTTTTCTCTATTGAACATTTCAGTACACTCTTAGAAAATTACCCTTGACATTTCAAGTAAAAAATCTTGAAATTTTTAACAACGAATAATTTACATGGAATTTCCATTGATCTTGTTATTGATAAATCAATCAATTCAAGAAGAATATTCAATGAAATTTGATTTATCAGGTTCATAGGACAATGAAAATGTCTGAAAATCGTGAAAATTCAGGCAATTTTTCTTTAGAATTTTTAATCTCTTGAAGATTTAATTGAATATAATGCTTAATTTTCGAGATCGGTGTGAAAATTCAAATTGTCATTGAAAATTCAATGATCATTCATCATAAAGAACTTAATTTTATTGAATTTCCAAGGTGAATCAGGAATTCCATGAGCAATTTAGTCTGAAATTGAATTCAAATTCCGAATATTGAAAATTACTTAATTTTCAAAAAAACAATTTTCAATTTTTTCAAATTCAAAAAATTTCAAAAAACTGTGTAGAATCGGTCAAAAACTAATAGAAAATTCGGGAGAAATCCAGCAGAATTTTCTAGCGAATTCGCTAGATTTTTCTATACAATTTTTTCCTCCGTGGAGAGTTTGAATTAACATACCTGTTGCAGAGATCCGTCTTCACGTTTTTTGCTCGAATGCTTGCGGCGTTGCCGGTCGCATGCAGGAGAAAAAAGGTCAACAAGTGATCACGCCACATGCTCCCGTCTCCTCTGCCCTTTGATTCCAGGACGACAGAGTAAAAATAGCCGCAAGAAATCCCGGATCGTTCTTTAATTATCGAGAGTAGGGGACAGCGAACGCGAGTGCTTCATAACGTCAAATGCACTCAGCGCCGCTCTACAAACTCGAGTGTAAGACAATATCAAGTGTTTCCTCGGCTCAGACGCTTGAGCGAGTCCTTCTGGGCATCCTGCATCGACCAAGGGGGCGACACTGTGCAGAACCGACAATTAAATGAATGCAGTATTGCTAAGTACACGAGTCTGCGCAATTACGAAATATCTCCACTCTTATTACGTGAACTAGAATTTTACATTTTCATTTACCTCTAATGCGGAATTTCGATGGAAATGAGGATGAAGTGGGGTCGTAATTTTGAATGCTACTGACGATGAGGATTTATGGGTTTTACGGTCTTTAGGGGGGTTTGTTATTTGGAGATTTCGGGGAGCGAAAATCGGGTTGCGAATTCATCTTTGACTTCATTTTGTTGTATTGAATGATTGAATATTTGGGTTTTATCCACTTTAAAAAAATCCAGTGTAACGATTTTTGAAGCCTCTATTCCGCTTATCAAGTAATGTAATATGATTTCTATGTATATTTTTTAATGTACTGTAATCTTTTGTTTACAGTAATTGTGAAAGAAGAGAAATTAATTTCTTACTGTAATAAAAAAATACATATGTAACATAGTATATATGTATATATCATATAATATATACTATGTATACTATACATATATTTTCTTATACTGTAATTTTTTTAACTCTAAACAAATATATATACAATACTAAAAATAATAAAGAACGCAAAAAGCAAAGGAGAAACGAAGAAGAAGATGAAGAGGCTAGGACGATTCTGAATAAATTATTCAACAATTGAATTCTCATTGAGAAAAACTTTGTTTAAACCATTCATTTTTCCTACATTATTATTGAGATAAAAATTAATGAGAAACGGTAAGGCTTTACTATTTTGGCACCCATGGAAAATAATACAATAAAATTTTCAATCCGGCGCACTCTCTGCATGTTTGGCACGGAAAAATCCTTTTTTGATCATTTTCAAAAAAATATTAATTCTAAGACTTGTTTGAGAACTTTATCGTTTTTCTCTCAGTGTAGATTCGCCTAAGATGAATCTTCTGCTGTCGAATCTATCGCCAGCTTCATCATGTTGAATGACTAAACTTCATCTGTTGTTCATTTGTTGTTTAATTTGTGATTTATATTTGCAGTTGAATTTTAGAAGTATGAATTTGTAACCACTAGAATGGTCTGGGAAGTTTCCAATTCCAAAAGTGATTGAGCAAAAAATATTCAGTTTTGGTTTTTAATTCAATTTAATAACTGAATATTTGTATTTTTATTTCAATAAATAATTTCAATTTTTTCAGAAATTTGGGATAAATCTAATGAATGCTGAATCACTTCATCAGTTGTTGAATTCATGAGTAATATTCATAGTTGGATTGCAGCGGCATAAATTCGCGGAAGCCTGCTGGCACTATCCTCTGAATTCAACGCCAGTAGAAAATGAATTTACGTGACGTCCAAACTTTACCAAGTCATGCCCATATTTTTGTATGGTTTCCTCGGTGCTCTCGTGGAACACAGGTACATTTGTTTGACATGGGGCAACTTTTTAAACGCATTTCTCGTGTAACCCCTTCTTTCCACCAAGCAAATACTGTATAGAAAGTTTCTGACGGGCTTCCGCCACTCCCACGCCTCTGCGTCATGGAATTTAGGGAACAATAAGGTATTTTAAGAGTGTTCCGGTCGTAAATTGGTGGGAGAGCCATTGAATGTTTTATGCGAATTACAGGGAAAGATCAACGTTTTCACGGATCAAAAATACTTCATCGAAATGGGATATATTACTTGCTTGAATGAAGAATACGGAAATGTTGAAGGTGGGAATGGATATTCCATCATTAAGTATTCTGCTTTCAATTTTTTTTTCTTATTTCAATTTTTTCCAATATTTTTTGAATTCTCATTATAGATTGTACATTTTCGATCGTAAAATTTTGCGAATTGTAAAATAAAAAAAAACACTAAATAAATTTGCGAATCAATTAAATAGATTTATTCAAATAGCTCATAATAGTGTTTTTATTGAAACTTAAACTGGATTTTTATTTGCAGTTTTGACACTTTAATAAGTTTTTAAAAAATATAAATAAATGATTTATCATCATGTGACAACCCTCAATTCCGAATGAATGAATTCCTTCATATAATAAAAGCATTTCCATTGAAATGAATCAATAACTGTATATAATTCCCTCCAACCATCGCTGAAATGAATAGAAAAATTTCACATAAAAGTTTTATTCCATTCAAATCCCTCATTACTCAATATCATTCAATCCATAATTGCACACTCACACAATTTTCTCTAGGACAAATGGAGCTATCGGAAAGCATGTCAAAATATTCTCCATTTTTTCTTATTTCAATTTTTACCAACATTTTTTGAAATTTAAAATAAAAAAAAAAACAAATTAATTTGTGAATTAATTGAATGAATTTATTCAAATAGCTCATAATAGAGTTTTTATTGAAACTTAAACTGGATTTTTTTTTTGCAGTTTTGACACTTTAATAAGTTTTTTAAAACTATAAATGAATGATTTATTACCACGTAACAACTCTCAATTCCGAATGAATGAATTACTTCATATAATAAAAGCATTTTCATTTAAATGAATCGATAACTGTATATAATTCCCTCCAACCATCGCTGAAATGAATAGAAAAATTTCACATAAAAGTTTTATTCCATTCAAATCCCTCATTACTCAATATCATTCAATCCATAATTGCACACTCACACAATTTTCTCTAGGACAAATGGAGCTATCGGAAAGCATGTCAAAATATTCTCCATTTTTTCTTATTTCAATTTTTACCAACATTTTTTGAAATTTAAAATAAAAAAAAAAACAAATTAATTTGTGAATTAATTGAATGAATTTATTCAAATAGCTCATAATAGAGTTTTTATTGAAACTTAAACTGGATTTTTTTTTTGCAGTTTTGACACTTTAATAAGTTTTTTAAAACTATAAATGAATGATTTATTACCACGTAACAACTCTCAATTCCGAATGAATGAATTACTTCATATAATAAAAGCATTTTCATTTAAATGAATCGATAACTGTATATAATTCCCTCCAACCATCGCTGAAATGAATAGAAAAATTTCACATAAAAGTTTTATTCCATTCAAATCCCTCATTACTCAATATCATTCAATCCATAATTGCACACTCACACAATTTTCTCTGGGACAAATGCAGCTATCGGAAAGCATGTCAAAATATTCTCCATTTTTTTCTTATTTCAATTTTTACCAACATTTTTTGAAATTTAAAATAAAAAAAAACAAATTAATTTGTGAATTAATTGAATGAATTTATTCAAATAGCTCATAATTCCCTCCAACCATCGCTGAAATGAATAGTAAAATTTCACATAAAAGTTTTATTCCATTCAAATCCCTCATTACTCAATATCATTCAATCCATAATTGCACACCGACACAATTTTCTCTAGAACAAATGTCGCTACCCGAGAGACATGTCAAAACATTCTCCATTGTCCCCACTTAACTGATGAAACACATCAAACGCATTCTTGCATATCGCGTCTCCGGATACTATGCAAGAACCCCACCACCCGTGGACTCGTCGAATTCAAACAACTGTCACCGCAAACTCCCCCGGAAATTGCCAACAATGCACCAACATTAAATGTTAAAATCATCTCCAAATCAAATTTCGTAATCCAGTTTGCTGCTGCAAGTAGTAAAACCACGGCAGTCGTCAGACCTGTGGCCAGATGTTTGCGATGGTTCGTTCGACACGGCCACAAAACTCCATACTGTTGAGCCACAACATAAAATTTCCGAGAGTACTGAATTGAGTTCTCGTATTTTCATGAAAAATAAAAAAGAAAAACAAGTGGGAAATTACTTTTATATTAATGTCGTGTAATATTGTGTAGATTTTTTTTGCTAATAAATTAGAAATCGGCTTTCGAATGATGATTTTGTGCATCATCTGCTTTTATACTATAAATTCATGGCTTCATATAATTTTATTAAATTCAATGAAATTTCTCTTTTAATTAATTGTGTTATAGTTTTATTTAGTTTAATATTTGATGCGATTTCAAATGTGAAATAATATATATCTGTACCATCTATTTATTCGATGAAAGTCGACGTACGATGATTGAATCATCGATGATTGAATCATTAAAACAACCTACATTGACGTGTTTTCATGAAAGATAAAAAATAAAAAGCAGTGGGAAATTGCTCTGAGATTAATAGCGTATAGATTTTTTTCTACTAAATTAGGGTCAAATTTTCCAAGTTTCATTATTTGATTTTCTTAATGAGGGGAACACACAAATAGTAGAATGAAAAAAAAACAGAAAATTCGAGCCGAGGAAATTCTGTGAAAAATATCCGAAGAGAATAAATTATGTAGAAATATCGAATTCTGTTGCCTTTTTCAATGAAATATCTTCTATTGAAATCCTCTAGAATTGTCCAGCGAATTAAGTAGATTTTTCTATTAAATTTTTTCATTCGTGTTCGGAAGCAAAAAAACACTAGAGGTTTTTAATTGGCTTCCCCATTTGGAGAATTGAGAATTCACCGAATTATGCATTTCAGTTGCTTAAAAAACTGAAGAGGTGTTGCACCGAATAATACAGAATGTTAGCACAGCACTCGTTGGAGCCCCTCGAAAACAGCGAATAAACTCTCATATCGAGTTCCATCAAACATGTCCCGCTGTTCACCCCCATTGCCCATCCTCCGGGCATCGTAAAAACTGAAGACCCGACATAACGGATGAATCATAATCTCCAACGGCCGGAAATTATTGCACCAAACACGCTTGTCATACCGCGATATCGGATCCACTACCCGTTTCATTCTATTTGAATTAATTGACAAATTGACGGTGCTCGTCACTTACATTCATGTGTATGTCCAGTGTTTGCTGTTGGGATGTACGAGACTCGTTCGATCAACGAGTTATTAAATCACTAGTGAATCCGCTGGATTGGTTTCAGTCGAGAGGGCTCATGAACAATTCGGTGTTCATGCGGGGTTGGGAATAACTGTCAGCCAATTGACATTTGTGCATGACTTTTCTGGAATATTTTCCATTTATTTTCATTTTATGCAGATGAGCAATGCGTGATATTTGAAATGTTTTTAGCTTTATTCAGGTGCAATTCTTCGCAATAAATTGTTTTAACGATTCGATAGGGAATTGTATTTGTTTTTGGCGGATTTTATTGAAGAATTTAGTTATTTTATTGTGTTTTTTAGGACTTTCGTGGCATAAATTTCGTCAGTTCCTTCCATTCTACTTCTACTCCCTTTTCGATTAAAAAATCCAGCAAGAGAACTTGAAGAATTGAATCCATTGCAATAGGAATCAATAGAAATCAAACAGAATTTTGTAGCGATTTCGTTATTGTTCTATGAAATTTTCTCGTACGTGAAATTATCTTTAAATAAAAAAATATTCTCGCTCGTTAGTAATACTTTTTTCTTTGGTATCATTAGAAATGCTATTCTTTTTGCCAAAATGTCATCAGTTTGAAATTCCTATATTTGAAATATTGCAGTTGAAGGTGTGGACTCCAGTCATTTCCCTTCGAGTCCTCCGAAATTTCCAATAAAAGTTGTTCGACCATGGTATTCCAATTTCTATGAAAATCAAACCGTAGATTGATTACAGACCCTCGACCACTATCATTGGTAGATGGATTTTATTGCTCTTTCACGCTACAGCATTTTTCCCATTCCGGGTAAACTTCATCATAGGGATGTGCGTTATTTTCTGCTCGACTTGACGTTATTAAATACAAGTCACATCGGGTAGGACTGTTGATCTCGTTCATATTGAGGAAAATTCTTAGAAATGTCGGGACAAAAAAAAACTCTTCTTCATTTTTATTCAATAATTTATTTCAATTCCCATTCAAACTGATTACTCGATCGTTTTTTCGTCGATTGAGGGATCAGTGAGATGTGGGGAATACTGATAACGTAAGATACATTAATATTCAATAATAATATTTATAACTTATCTAAATTTTCCTATACATTGTTAGAAATTTATTGCAAATTAATCGACAGTTGCATTGCAATTCCCCAACACTTTTATCTAGATTTAAAGTTTTAGTTCATAAAATTTTTACATAGTAATAATTCTTTGCAGATGGTCTTTTAAATATTCGAATCGATTGTGAAAATTTAAAAACGCATGAATTATTTTTTCCATATTTCCCAATTAATTTGTTTAATTGTCGCATTAAATTCGAAATTTTTCTACTGAAATCTCACTAAAATATCACATGACTTCACGAAGCATTGCAGAACATTCTACTCGAAATACAAAGTGAAATTTTCCATTACAAAATTAAATTTTATGAAGAATCCTTCATAAAAATCGACAATGAAAATTTAAAAACGCATGAGTGAAATTCCGAACGAATAAGAAAATAAAAGCAATAGTCTCTCAAATTTTTCTCATACTTCTCAATTAATTACTTTAATTGCCATATGAACATCGAAATTTTTCTACTGAAATCTCACTAAAATATCACACGACTTCATGAAGCATTTCGAAACATTAAACTTCGAAATATAAAGTGAAACTTTCCATTACAAAATTACCATAAAATTTCCCTGCAAATAACATGGATTGAATGAAGAGGATAGGAAATAATCAACCAAATGGATTGCTACGAAAATTTGCCAAACGTTTTCTTCTTTAGTATTCAGTATAACCCAGCCAGGCTTAACAATTCCAACGATCAGTTGTCCTCTCTCAAGGGAGGAACAGCTCTAAACCCCTTTAAAGCCATTCCCATGCTTCTGTGAGTCAAATCCATTTTCTGGATCCCCGGAAAATTGCACATTCTATTCTAAAGACTAGATAGCGAATGAAAGAGGAATTGTAGATGAACGCTCCCGGCATTCCTGGAATCGAATAAAAAACAATTGAACGGATTAATTCAGGATTGCTGGGGGAGAACAAGTCATTATTCATTCGCTCATTTGCCTGATTGTTTTTCCACGGAATTTTAGAACACTGTTTTTGCGTGAAGACTACACTCAATTGGTGGGCTTATAACGTGACGCCTTCTTGCTCGAGGGAATAATAATTTCCATTTCTATGAAATTAGTCGAGCATTTCGAGGGAAATGGAAATTGTCATAGTAGACTTTGTTTTGTGAATATTTCTTGAAATATTGAGGAGCATTACCATAGAGACGCTATTCCACGGTTGGAATTTATTCCAATGGTATTTTCAATACATCGATTGTACTGACAATTTTAGCACAATACCTCGGATTTATATTTGGACCACTCAATTGCAAAACGGCTTGTAAATTCTAAAAGGTCGAGGGGTGAATCCCTTTCCAAAATTAGATTTTATCTATTCGAAGTTGATAAATACGCGGAGGTTCTCATAACTATAATTTTTTACGAATAATTGATTCTGAAATTATTAGTCAAATAGACTGCGGAGGAAAATAAATACTATTTTGTTGAAAAATTATATTCGCGAAATTTAATTTGAAATTTAACACGAATTTCGATTTAAATAAACAAATGAGGAAATTAATGAAGTGAGTAAAATATAAATAGAATGAAATAATGTGATGAATTGTTTACAATTTATTGTTTACAATAGATAAATTTGTAAATACAATAATTTTTTAGGCTTTATTTTGTAAATTAAATGTTGAACTATAATTTTTAAATAATTGATTATAAAATTATTGTTCCAATCGACATTAAAGGAAAATCAAATGTAAAATAATATTCATCTTAAAGTCGGCACCAATTGAAATGTAAATAAATTGATGAATAAATGAATAAAGGAATGAAATGAGTGAAACGTGAATAAAATAAAATAATTGAATTGCTAAAGGAGGAGAGTCGTAGCATAATGCGAATAAGTGCCCCATAATGATTTATCAAAACTAAAAAGCACGGATCCCCTAACAATACCAGATCCTCGTCATTATAAAGTTCGAAACTACGAGAAAAAAAATGGAGGAGACGTCCATTGAATGCACTCCAACAATCCCCCCTCCCCCCTAACTTGAAATGAATTCTCTAAAGTCCGAATCAGATATTTGAAATTTGCCTCGGCATGTTGAAACTTTTCCCAGTGGCGAAGAAATTCAATTCAAACAGTCGAGAAAAATGATATCATGAGAGAGAATTATTTCTCTCTAATTATTCCCCGGACACGTTTCACATGCACGTGAGCTCGCGTGCCGACACTCGCATGTTTCTGATGTGTTTCATACCGTTGATCGTATAAAATACTCACGATTGTTTATCTCTCGAGAATGTTACGCCCTTCGTATTCAGTGTCGCTTAATGTCATGTCCGGATACATGTCTAGAAATTCAAAAACTACTCCATTCGTGAAGGCAAAACCCGGTTGAACCGTATATTCACCACCGCCTCCGTAGTGTCCAGGATTTCCCGAGTCATACTGAAACAGAAAGAAAATAAAAGGTCGAGTTTAAGTCGAAAAGACAAAAATATTTTATTAAAAAATCGGTGAAAAAGGATTTCCGGACCCAACGATGCCATTTCGATGAGTCAGATGTCATTTTAAAGAGTAAAAAAAACCTTGACAACGAAAAATATGAGGATATTCTCATGACTATAATTGTTTAATATAATTTATTCTGAAATTATTATTGAAATGGACATTAAAGAAAAATCAAAATTATTTTTTTGTAAAATACTATTCGTCTAGAATTGGACACATATTGAAATGTAAATAAATAAATAGATAAGTGAATAAAGGATTGAAATGAGTGATCTGTGAATAAAATAAAATAATCGAATTGTAAAAAAAGATAAAGACAAAAGAAGAGACGAAAAAAATCGTCTTCAACCGTCAATATCTCCGGACCCAACGATGCGATTTCGACGAGTCGCATCTCATTTTAAAGAATTAAAAAAGACCCTGAAAACGAAAAAAAAATCGGTAATTTCACTCTGCCGTTGTCGATTTATCGCCGATTGAAGACAGGCGGTTTTATCGCACTGAACTTTCTCAATGCAAAATTCAGTGGCACGAAGATCCCTAATGGCTGCGACGACCGCCTCAGCGATTTTCCTGAAAACTTTACATCAAGGACCCGGTAAACCTTAAGCATCAGGTACTTCAGCCGATATTTGATCTTACCAGCGTCATATACCGTCATCTTCAGTCGGAATTTCAATTCAGCGGTGGAGGCCCCGGCAACATCTCCAGTGTTATTATTCTGAATAATATCTCGGGTATCTTCATGTTGCTCAATAGATATCATGTTCAGTGTTATCACGAGTGTAATATTTCAGAATACGGCCAGGTGTGCTTTATCTGTGTTACATTCTCCCGTTGGAATGTTCTTTTTCTCTCGTCCTCCCGGGGGTGTGGGTCTATTGTTCGGGGTAATATGTGGGGGAGTGTTGCGCTCTAGTAGCTCTATCGGTCAATCTCCTATTCCTGAGTGGAAACTTCTGAGCTATTAGGATTCCTCTGTGTGTGGTGGCTTAGGTGATCGCCATTGTGCCGAGGCAACCGCTAATGTGGCTTTCAGGCGTAAACAGCAGTGATGGGTCCATTATTGGGATGCAATAGTTGGGAGTGGACGGCTAATTCAAGAGGGAGCAATATCTTTGAATGAAGAATGCAGGAGTTACTATTGAAGATATTTTGCAATTATTTTGTCACTTCAAATGTGTGGACTCAAAATTTTTAAGGGCTTGGTTAGTCAAATAAATTAATATTCTTCAGGGAAAGAATAAGATCCGATTAATTAGCCCATCATGTATAGATATTCCAAATTTTTATTTTTTTCCTCATTGAAGTAGTTTTGAAGAAAATTCCGAGCTAATAAAAAACATTGGCTAGTTAGTACTTTTTTAAAAATAAATTTTTGAAAAATCACCCCTGAAAAAAAAGGCGTTATCCCTCCTATTTCATTATTTCCAAAAAATTTTATCACCAATCGGTAGCAAATTGTTTGAAGATTTTTGCGAGTTAAGAAAGAATCGTCAATGCACTCCTATTATTGTGTAAATTAACAATTCCAATTTCAACTGAAAACCAGAGTTGATGACCAGAGTTTGTAGCAGAGATGTCAGACAAGATATGAATGTTTTTTT